AACTCTGCACCAGAAGTGATATGTCAAAAACATTTAGGAAAACTCACTGTTTTGTTTTACTCAAGTCAGGCATGGGTGGCATGCAGTAGATTGCAAGGAAAAGCAAAAGGACATCCATTTCCAAAGGATTTATAATCTCCATGCACATGTAAAATGTCTCTTACAAAAATTGTTAACATTTGTTAAAAGTGTGCCTTTTTGCCTCTTTTTATACAAGTGTACATGCAATTACCTGTTAGAGCTAAAACTATTTACAAAATTTCATAATACATCTTGTAAAGTGAATAATACATGAAAGGCCAATGTTTTCTGTTGTTTTGTAACACTGTACAAGATTAAAAATAAATAAGGCATTATAATACAGGTTTATCACAAATTAAAAAATGTTGGTTTTCACTGTAATACAAAACTCTAACTTGAAAGAACATTATGGCTAAATAGTCCTCCTGCCTGGGCAGAACACATACAGAATTTGGACTTGCTGATATAAAGAAAACACTCTGTATCTGCTACAAGCAGGAATTCAACACATGAAAATGATTCATGCTACTTACTAAGGTGTTCAGACTCCTCAAAGCACTGAAATGGCACTGGTCATATATGGTTTACCTTCGAACAGTGACTCCCAAGTACTTTCGTTTGCCTTACAAATAAATTACAGGCAAAAGTGCAAAAGAGATTCAGGCGCATGACCTACTCTTGGTTAGAGTGTTGTAAAATATTCAGTTCAGTACCGATGTGAGACATCATTGTAACCCAAAGCAGAACTACAGAAGCTCATCTCCTGACCTTCATAAGCATGCTAAACTCCTGGTGATTTCTGCAGGCCTCTTGGTACATAAGGGATGCAGATTTGGCCCTAACAAGCTGAAGCTCTTGGCTCTCAGTCTCACCTAGAGAAAGCAAGGGAGAATTCACGTGTGTTTTTAGTGAAGATGAGGGAGTGCGACTTGCCACAGCAGGAAGCAGCTACGATAACTAACGCGTTGGACAAAATAGCTTTCTAGTCGATGCAGATGGGACGTGTTTGTAAATATCTAGCCAGTAATTCAACTGAATGCCAGTCTGTAATTTCTGCCGAGAATAATAATTGAAAAATCATTTAAAGATAAAGGTAGCATAGGAACACTTTGAAATTAGCTCCCAAGACAGTGAAGATCTCTGATACTTATCTCCTCATACAAGGAAAAAAATACTTCAATTATTACTATTATTTGAAAGAGAAAACGTGCAAAGTGATGTGAAATATTGTGCTTGCTATTGATAGACATCAACATGCCAAAATGGCATCAGGTTGTTGGAGGGCTTGTAGCTGTTAATTGTTTCAAGCTAACAGCTGCACAAGATGGTGGGACAGAAATGCAGGAGGCTATTCTGCCCACAGTGCATCAAGTTACTATCCTCAGTTAAACATCAGGGACTTTTTGGGTACTGTGGGGCAGAATTGACTCCTTGCTGGGGCTACAGCAAGGTCACCCAGGCAAAAGAGACAGAGCTTGACCAGAAAATTAATAAATGAAGATAGGAAATACAACTGCATGCACTAAGGTGGACACAACCTGAATCCCACAGAAAACCAAGTAAATCCCTCTCATGATTTTCAGGTATATTGGACCAGGTCACATATTATCTTCAGCCAATTGTCAATAAAAATTTGATGACAAGCTTCTCTAATTTTGAAGAAAATGCATATTGCATTTGTGGGGTTATTGAAAGTATTAATAGTACCACTTTACTTGCATAAAACTTACTGAACTTACCGAAGAACGCAGAAGAGCAGAGAGATAAAAATCTGTCACTTAAAGCTATTACACAAGAGTTGGAATAAAACAAACGTACACAGAAAAGGAAAATGGGGTAAAATTCTAAGAACAGGGAAGGAAAGCATAGAGGCCAGAGCACAGCTTCATTATATCATGATTTCAATGGGCATTTAGTTTTCCCTGTTGGAAGGGCTGCTGAGCACTGCCTATCATTTTCATGTGGCTTTTTACTAATTTGTGTCTTTGGCTGAATTTTCTTCATCATTCCATACTGCTCAGTACAGGACTGTATAGTAAAATATAGTTTTCCCATAGTAAAACCAGCAACAACCACCACAACAAAAATAAGAATAATGTTAATGGTAGGACTCAAGCAAAGTCTGTAAACTGACTCCAAATACACCATCACTAATGCTGTAAGCTAGCACATGCATGCTGGACTGCCTGCAGCACCAAGAAGCCATCCTGGTCCACTCAACTTTCTCTGGAGGTACAGACCTCCTGTAAAAGGGTTGAATGAGAAGTTGACCATGGACTGCATCTATCTGATCCTTTCCATTCAACATAGAGTACATTCTTACAAAAATCATTTGCCTCATTAGACTGTTGCAGAGGATGAGACTTAGAAAACTAGAAACTGCTAATCTTTTAAAACATTAAAATGAATAATCCAAAATTGCCTTGCTACATGATCTTCCACTGACATTACTCTAGGTCTAGTCTAGGAATGAGAACAGTCCCAAAAATATTAGCACAGGGGACAATTCATTTCTGCTTACTGTCCATTTAGTGAGAAAAGAAACAATGGCAATATGCCTATAGCTTGGGCCTGTTGAAAAAGTAACAAAGAAATAATTTCATTCTAAGTTTTTGTGGTGGGTCAATGGCTGTATTTAGTCTATGCGTTCATGTACTACCATATCTACTGCTAGGATCTGAAGATCCTTTTAATAACAGTACATGTAAAAGTAATGTTTTATTATTATTGGTGAAATTATACCAGATTCACTGATTCAAAAGCTATATAAATGCGACTCTGTGAATGGAACCAAGTGATTAATGCTATTGCACATGATGCTTTCCATTTCAGTTAAATACTTAACTGTGTGATGATTTAGTTCTTACAAACTAAATTTTCTACATGTATTTATTTAAATGGCTTTGAATGCATCAAAGTCTGAATTAAATTATTCTAGAAGAACATCTGTGAACTGGATAGCTTTTAGGGAGATGAAGAAATGCAGTGACTTTCCATAGATCAGCCAGAGTGTGTACACCTCGTACAGTTAGGAAACAATTCTTATTCTTTTATAGTCACTTCAATCATAGAATCATGATCATAGGATGTTTAGGCATGGAAGAGACTTTTAAAGGTCATCTAGTCCAACCCCCCCCCCATCCGTGAGCAGGGACATCTTGAACTAGATCGGATTGCTCAGAGCCCCGTGAAGCCTGACCTTGAATGCTTCCACGGTCAGGGCTTCTACTACCTGTCTGGGCAATGTGTTCTAGTCTCACAGCACTAATTTTGCTAACTTTGTAATGAGGCACCTAGCTGACAGGATACATAAAAATTAATTAAAAGCCCTGCTGAAACCACTGGAGTCCCACAGCAGTCTGATATAGCTACATGGAGAATGGAAACTCCTGCAACATTTCTTTAACCATTTTCATCTGTTGACACAGTATTTGTCCATATACTCTTAACAAAAAAAATGACAGCTTCAAAGCAAATACTAATTGCAGTAGAGTCACTCAGAATCTTCTTTCCACTGAAATCAGTAATCAAATAGCCCCACCAAAATGAAATATGACATCTAATACATGCAAGTTTTCTACCGCGCAATCCAGGCAACTTCTGCAGTCCTGGGTGTGTTTTTTGGGTTGGTTTGTTTGCTTGGTTTTGTTTGTGTTTTTTTTTTCGGTGTGTTTTTTAGTTAAAAGGAAGTTTAGCATACTTTTAGGTAATGTAAAGTATTGCTTCTCTTTTGAAAGCAGTGAGGCTGGTTAGCTTGTGCATCCCCATCAGCACCTGTCCACGCAACACATGTCCCTCAGCAGGATGACCTCCAGCTGCCCCCGCCTTAAGCACAGAGCTGCACTCCACATTTCACATCCAGATCAGTGTTTCAGGATGAAACCATGAACAATAGGATGCAGACTGCATTAAAGAAAAGAGCAGTCAAAATATGTTCCCTTTTACGCAGATTAAGAGCAGGCCTCACTCTTCTGGCACATTTACCAGTGTGCTCCTCATTTGGGCAAAGTTTGACTGTGCTTGTTTCTCAGAATTATAGCTTTCTATAATTGTACAGCTTTGAAGAGTGAGCATGGCTAGAATCAAGATATAATAAAACTATGGCATAAATTTAAAAATCAATTAAGACGTAAGACTGTGTTGGCAAACATACAAATAACACAAAGCTAGCAACAGCATGTTTGTCACCAGTACAGGACTATTCTTTGAGCTGTTTAGAAAGGTAAAGCTACATCCTGGAACTGAGCCACAGGACCTGTGCTGTTTGTAAAAGTCTGAAATAATACCACCCTTCTGCTCTTCAATAAAATCAGCACTGTACATAAAGGAATGTTTCTATATTGCATAAGCATATTGCTGTGCTTGCAGGGTGGCTCCTCTGTCTTGCACAGGGTCAAATGACCTGTGAAGAGGCAGCAACTTCTAAACTCTATCACCTTTTTTTTTTTTTAATATAAAGAATATATATTGTTCTGCCAAACATTTATGCTCTGTAGTTTAACTGCTTCATATCCTAGTGTTATGGTTTGAATTGGATTTTTATTTTAAAAAGTTTTGGAGCATGCAAGGAGAATTTTAAAAAATACGTAGGTTTTAGCAGTTAGTTGAATCCAGCCTTCATTAATCTGGACAGCAAAATGAACACTGTTCTCATTGCCTTAACTCACACATTGGGAGCCTAATTTCCCTAACTCTTGCTGTAGCCCTGGAGAGTCTCCAGTTGTCCCACACTCCATGGGTAAATGCGTCTTTGCTAATCCCAGACCCAACAATGCTGGCTATGATAGAGAGAGAATTCTCTTTCCTATGTCATTGCAGGTGGATATGTAAATAAATACATATTTTTATGTTTATCTCTATAAATCTCTATTAAGTCTACACAGGATTGTTTGTATATGTGCATATATAGATTAAAACATATATATACACACACACGTAAATAACTGCTTGCATGTTTATCTCTTTTTTTTTCATTTACCCTTTAAAAATGCCAAGAAAATATTCCTCATTTCCAGAAAATCAGGTTTTGACTTTTCCTAACAGAATTGTTAGCCCTTTTATGTTCCATTCCAAGAGTTCGATACACAGTCCCCAAGTTCTCTTTGGTTGGGTTGTAGTGGTCCTTGGTTAATGCCACAGCCTATGACCCCTGATCTCTTGGTAAAAATTCAGGCAACCATTGCTCTCAAAGTTCACTGCAAATGGCACAACCAAATCTCCTTTGCTCTATGCCTCCTTCACAGCTGGCACAGAAGGAAGATAGTGCAGTGTTTGATTTGTGTGAGTGGCAGAGGCTTGACCTGCTCCAAGTCCAGCTTTTACAGTAAAGCTAGCAGCTGAGGACACCGATGGACAGCTGGTGCCCAGTTTTGTTTGAATGTTTGCTCTCCCGTAAGGGTACATTTTCCGCTCTAAGTTTAAAGACCGTGTTTGTGAAGTATTTCCATCAGCCTTTCCTTCCAGGAAATAGGTCAACATTTCACCTTTTCCCTTTACACTGACTTTACCTCTGCACACGAATTCATAACTGCATCTTTTTAATATCCTCTGAACTTCTTCTGTCACCTGAAGCCAGAAAAAAAGAACTATTAGTTTTTCCTGTTAGTATAAGGTTATTCCTGGAACAGCACATCCCTCCTCTTTTTACTTCTCTGTCTTGAAATACTCATAAGCAGAATGAATTAACACCTACTGCTGCTCTTGGGCTCACTTAAAATTTTCTTAAGGAATTAAAAATCACTGACCAAATTGTAATCTGAGAACTTCTGATCTTGAGCTGAATAATTACACACCCAGATTAAGCTCCATCCAAGAGAAATGTGTAACCACTGCTGTAAACTGGATCAGTTCCAGTGACATTCATTTACTCCAGAAGAACTTCTGATCCCTAGAGACTAGACAGATATTTTGGATAAGGGACTGCAAGAGTTCATTGAACTTTTGAGAGGTGCAGCATAGCTGAGCTCTAGTAGAACAACAATGTCATCTGTCTGGGTAGCCTCTCCGATCCAAAGTATCCAAGGAATTTTTAAGGCTACATAAAATT